CAGCACGATTGTTTCACGTCGCCACGAATTTATGCATCTACAAACACGCACTTGCTTCATTTCGTTTTTTATCTTCAAATCGTACACTGTATACTTTGTTAAATGTTGTTGTCGACAAAATTACACGGTTGTGCTTTAAGATGTATATTCTTTAGAGAATACCGAGACTAATGATACGATGTAGTAAACGCGCATGACTATTATTGCTCTGGGCTATTTACAGTACTTGAGGATGATGCTATTCGTAGTGCTAGCTGTCTCTAGGGTAAACGCTACCGCGGAATAACTAATTCCCGTGACAATCTAAGCAGGACAAATATAAAGAGAGAATTCGTCAAATTGACACGACTCGATTTAATTATCTTCTTCTTCTTTTTTAATATATAATTATTTCGAAATAATATAACTACGTATTACGTATTACTTGCAATTTTGAATAAAGCTTGCTATTTCGATTAAAACATGATGCAATATGCAATAAATTATGTAAATAATTATTTAAGAATTTTAATAATCATGTATTAAATGAGTTGCATTGTAACACATTTAGCATAAATTGTAACGTAGTAGTGTGTGTGTGTGTGTGTGTGTGTGTGTGTGTGTGTGTGTGTGTGTGTGTGTGTGTGTCTGTCTGTCTGTCTATGTTAATACAATCATATTATACATATTGAGATAATGAACAAGTAATTATACTCATCAGCTAGAGTACAGTAGTTTGTTCCTCTCACTACGGATTCCGTAGACTATTATGCATCAGCTTTACCGCAGAATCGATGAATACTGGAAACTCGAATTTATTGCCAGTTACGTGCAATTTACTTTTCACGAATTTGCGACACGAATTTGTCACGCTGCAATACGTGAAACACAAACGCGAGATAAAACGCACTTTACTGCGAACCATTTGCACACATATGGAATTGTGACCCAATATTATAGGTATATTAAACTATTATCTAAGATAAGCTGATAAGCTAAGCTATCTAAAATAAGCTGATAACCTAAATTATCAGAATATAATAAATTATATATGAAAATAATTAGTTAATTTTTTGCTATTTTTTGCTTTAAAAAGTAATTTTTTTGCTCCAACTATTAAAAAGTTATGAAGGGCTAGATAACTTAAGATTAAACTACCAAAATCATTGTAAAAATAGCGTATACGCAAGTCAAAACAAACGATTAGTAATACCTACATTTTTTGCTATTTTTTTTCTACATTTTACTTCCAAAAATATTTTTTTGCTCCAACTTTTAAGGAATACCAAAAATACAAAATGTGGCGTTCAAGAATAAAGTGCATTAAAAATTAAAGCAAAAAAAAATATTTTTGAAAGTAAAATGTAGCAAAAAAAATAGCAAAAAAATAGCAAAAAAATTTGGTATTATTAATCTTTTGCTTTGACTTATGCATACGCTATTTTTACAATGACTTTGGTAACTTAATCTTAAATCTAGCGCTTCGTAACTTTTTAATAATTAGAGCAAAAAAATTACTTTAAAGCAAAATTACTTTTATTAAATTACTTTTTAAAGCAAAAAATTAGCAATATATTTTCATATATAATTTATTATATTCTGATAATTTGTCTTAAATAGCTTAATATATCATATTATTGTCATCTTACATATTCGGCGATCTATTCAACACTATACGTACATTTAAAATCAACGAGATAAATGATAATTATATTGGCAATAACGTAAAAGTCATTAGATATTTACACCTACATAACTATGTTTCATTCAATTCAATTCACGATAATTCAATTAAATATTTAATACGTAATAATACGTTCTTATTTTTTGCAATCGGCCGTTACTTTAGTCAGTACTCTTAATAAAAATTCACACTTGTTATACATTTATAATAAGTAAAATACTCAATTTATCGTAAAGCATTTCTCATTTTGCTGAGATAATGCAAAGCAATTTAAAAAGAAAATTATGTCCATCAGAAAAGGTTATTAACATATTGATAATCGATATCGATGTTACGTAAACTGTCTGGATGTATGAATAAAGATAAGATGTTTATTTTGACGTTTTCTAACACACAAGACACTTTATATATCATTGATCTCACATAAAAGACATATTTATTCCAATGTTCCACATTGCCGATCATATGTCTAATACAAACGATGCGTCTCTCAGATGATGCGGTTTGGCAATATTGAATTTATCAACAGATAAATTGATAATTAGTCTTTTATAGGTGTCTTTGCTGTATTGTTCTGTCATTAAAAATGTAATCATTGTTTGATAACGAATACAAATGCAACACTTATAATTGCAACATTAATTACTCCGCACAGAAAGAATACTTTTGCTGAAAGATCTAAAAATTGTGCCAGATACAGATCTAAAAATAAATTTTGTTGGACAATCAAAATTTATCAATAAAGCACTCGATCTTTTCTATATCGCAGCAAAAAGTTTCGAGTGCTCTATTGATAAATTTTGAATATCCGACAAAATTTATTTTCAGATCTGTATCTGGCACAATTTTTAAATCTTTCAGCAAACGTATTCTTTCTGTGCGCCGTAGGTAAGAATTAGGAAACGACAAACATATCTTTGTCTAATAAAAAGAATATTTTGGACAACCATATTGTCTGAGAAATTAAAAAAGCATATGTCAAAATTAAAACTTGCGATCTTTATTAATAAAAAAAAACATGAATATTACGACCAAAAAAATTTGAGTGCTTTATTTTTAACCGTTGTTTTTATACCAGCATTTATATGCATTGGAAAAAGCATGGCTAAAATACGTATTACAGATTAAATTTACGTAAACCAAGGGACGCTACAGCTTAATGTGGAGCGCGGTGCGCAAAACGTTAAGCGCGCTTCCGCTTATATACGGAAAACTTATACACTGAAAAATAATAAGATTAATTTTTTTTTTAATTAAAATTTTTTACGTAAGCGCCATTTACTGACAATTAGTGGCGTTTTGAACAAGTTCACTTTAATAAGTATTGGTATTTTATAAATATCGAACATTTATATTATACGAATTATAGTGGTCGAGGTGACAGTAGCATTTAGTGCACCTCGTAATGAAAATACAATAAAGTAACGAATCAATATCAAGTTGTTATTTGTTTCATCAAAAAGCCAATATCTTGATAAAAAAAGTTATGTAGAAGTAATATCAATATTTATTTCTGTATCATCTCTATATCTTTAAAATTCACGAAAACAATATCCAATGCCATCCAGAATGCATCGTTATCATGGCGTTCTCTTTGTTCAAAAAGCGCTTATTAGCGCTCACGTTTTCACTGCTCTATTCCAATAAAATAAGAGTTTGTAAACAATATTTGTCACAATAACGTTATAAATGGTTCTCTGAGCAAAAGCATACACACAGCTAAAGCGAACAAAATAAGCGACGCTTATAAGCGCTTAAAGCGCGTAAGCATTCAAAGCAGACTGTATCCATAGACTTAAAGAGATAAACTGCGCACTCTTACGTAAAGACTAATGATATATTGATAAAAATTTAATATACAAGTATACTCTCTCCGTCAATGTCTGAAGAGAACAATGGAGGATGAGCAACAAAGTGAAAACAGAAAGAGAGAAAAAGGAATGATGTGCACAAGAAAAGCAATTACTGCTTCTTCTCCCCATCGACCAATAATTGGATAATCGGACAAGAAAAGCATATGATACCTATGATATCTATTACCCTCTCTTACTAATGCTGACTGCTTCTCTCTAACAAAAATGCGCAATCTTGAATAGCAAATTCGACTTTATATAACATTTTTTCTCACTTGTTTTCGGTTGACCATTGTCGTTTGCATTTAGATTGTTGACAATTTCATACAAGTGTCTAGTTAACAAAAGTTTATTAACTATTGACATCGCACCAGTGCATGCCAACCAAATTCGCTGTAAATATGATCGATGATTGATGCTATACATTGATGCGCCAATTTGCGGCCGTGATAATAGCTTGGCGTCTATTCAGAACGCATATTAAAAATGTATAACAAGTGTGAATTTTTTTCATGTGTACTGATTAAAATAATGGACAATTGCCAGAACATATCATTTCTCGCGGATGATCGCGATTAATTGGCTGCACTATGGATCGAAGTCGATTCCAGAATATAAATTCCGATTCAATACATATCATGTTTGCGCGTATTTCTATTGTAGCATGTCGAAAATTCAACTTGTCAGAACATTTAATCTAAAACACAATTGTAAAACGTAGTCGGCGTTTGCTTCACGCTCTTACGACATATACATACATGCAGTTTGTTACAATGATGTGGGTGGTAACGTTGTGTCACAGAGAGTGTTTTATCTCGTGTTTTGTACTCGTAGAACGCAACGTGACACATTCACGACGCAAATCCATGTTATTCTTGTGCAAGTAAAATGCGCAGGTTAATTTTTATTCAATACTGCATATATAAGAGTTTCGAAGTTTATGCAGAGCTGTTTAAAGTGAAATCTACAATACTTTAGCTGGTATAATTATTATTTGTTCATTACCTAAAGATATACATAATTGCGATAACACATATAAATAATTACACATATAAATAATTATATTTATTAATTATTAATTTTTGTAAGACCTGTCTGAATGTACTTATTAAAATATTCATTAAATATTTATTAAAATTTTAAAATAATTATTCACACAATTTATTGTATATAATTATGCTTTAATCAAAATAAGAATAATTAAATATATCCATAAAATGTATGATAATTTATAATAATTAGTAAAATGTATATTAATTTTTCCAGTCAAAAGTGCACTTATTTAGGATACAACAATCGATGATTTTAAATCATCCATTCATTATTTTTTGTGCAATTACAAAATATGTTTATATTATCTATTGTGTTTTTGTTCGCTATATAATTGCTAATAATATCGGCTATATAATTGCTAATAATTGCGCTTTGATATCTTTTGTCTACAATTTTTACAAATCAATAATAAAATAAAAAATCACTCACCAGAACGATGCGCAGCAGCGGAGTTGTGATTTTATTGATCTGCAAAGCTGATCTCTATAACATACAAAAACAAATCCAGATTAAAGCTGCGTTCAAAATGATTAATAGTTATGAAATAATAATTGCGCACACTAAACTTTTTATTCGTTTATCTAAGCAAATATCTAATAAAATATTTATTGAAAAAAATTTAATTATTTAGAATAATATATATGTCAACAATTTCTAATAATCAAAAATGAATATTAAATATTGTAAATTCGTTTTCATTAAATATTTCTAATATTTTGTGCGAAACATTAATTAATACATTTCTTTTTACATGCATAAAACGCACAAAGCGTACCCAAGTAGTTTAGGCATAGCATAAACACGACACAGACGACGTAATGCGATACACAATTCCTTACGTTCAAAATATTAATTTCCATAACTAATTTATTATTGTATTTTTCGTCTTCTATCGTATCGTGTCTTTAACATTTTTACCTGCAGATTCGCTCTTGTATCTTTGTAGAGTAAAAAGTAGTGCATAATTATGTGGCTTGTTTAAGTTGTGCAATATTGAATAAGCGACCGGGCATATAAAGTAATAATAATTACTATATAATTAGATGAGCAAATTTGTTGTTTAAATTTTATTTTATAATTTCTTCGTCGTTTCAAATTTTTATTTTTATTTTTATATTGTACATAATTAAACCGCAGAGCAGTCTAGTTTATACTTACAAAGATGTTACGAAGTATAAAGCGCTGACGGTGTAATGAACAAGAAACGAAGAACGAAGTTTAACTATCTACATACATTCGACAAAATTAAATATTATTGTAAGCGAAACTTTATATTCTTATACTATATAAATAGAATTTTTCTTGTATAAAGAAAATTTTGGCTTTATTTACAGTTATGAAGTATTATAGTTAATAACAAAAGTAAAATTTCCAACCAAGCTTTGTAAGCTTTGTGAAAACAAAATAGAGTCTTATAAGATATTAAGGCAGAAATTTTAGATCACAATTTTTATGAACCGCTTTACTATCTTCGTTACAATAAATTTTATACAACGAAATATAAGTGTGTTTGTTAAATTTTTATTTCGAGCACCATAGGAATGAGTGTTATTTAGAAATAAACGCAATATCCGTAACGTCGTAAGAAGTTACGAGAAAGCGTGCAAAGAGGTATACGATCCGTGTTATTGGTATCGCGTGGCTTCATATCTTGTTTATCCTGCAATGGGATTGGAAATTGGATCACTCGCATACAATGCTCTCTTACGTCTTATCGGGCCTTAGATAGATCTTCTCCAAGTGTCGCTCGTCCACCTCATTCGATTCACACTATAATGAGCACTGAATACCTCTTGTTTCCGTCTCACTGAATCAAAGATGTTACAAAACTTCAAAATATTTTATATTTGCGATCTAGGTGCAAACTCACTGTCTTCAACAGTTTTCGAATTGGACTTGTATATTTTATCGCATTTTTTAGTTTGAAAAAAATTACAAGTATATACAAGTTAAATTAAAATAATTAAAAAAAAAAAATTTAAGAAAATAAGTCCTGCATCTCTAAATCTTTATTTATGATTCGTCGTTCAATGAACTATGTAGAATTGTTTAAAAGAAGGAACGTATTACATTATGATTAAAATAAATAAAAAATTATTAATATAAAATATTGATATTTTTAATATTATTTTCTCAACTATTGATACATCACAATCAATACAGTTCAAAAATTAATAATAAAATCGTATATCAAATTTCAGCAAAAAATGTTTACGATAATCAGCAACATTTAACAAACAAAGAATGCCAGCATCGATAATTAATCGTTTGTCTTTGATCATGATCAAGACTGATGACATGCAAACACGGGCACTATTTTGCGTATTCTCGCACATCTAATATTTCACCCAATGCTCTTTACAACGCCTGCCGAGCCGTAGAATGCAATCGAAGTTATCCTGTGTGTATAGAGCTTCTGCGTTGCTTACCTTCTAATGGAATTGGAAATTGGATCACTTTGGTACAACGTCCTCTGGCGTAGCTCTATTCCTTGGATGGATCTTGTCGAGAGATCGTTCGACCACTCCATCGCGCTGACAGGATTGTACTTTATCCGTGTTCAATCACATAGGGTTTGAAAACTATCATAGTAGATCGCAGAACAGAGCGAAACGTAACGAATATGGGTGAACAGAGTAAATGTAAATATTAAAGCATTCTAGAACACACAATTTGAATACCTCGCACTAAAATAGAAATAGTTTTCAACAGTTCTTTGCTCTTTTCAGAAAAATGATTGTCTATCAAAATTGACGTTTAGTTTGTTGTATTCTGGTATAACATGTACAATACAGAAAGTGCAATAATAGCTGCAATATCAACAATAATCTAATTTTTTTTACACATAAAGAGATCTCGCGTAACAATCGACGGTATACACAAAGCAATTTTTCGCGGTTGCTAAACACATTTAAATTGAAACGTTCAATGATGTATGTGCAGAGCACTTGGCCCTTTGTGTAGGTTGCAAGAGGAATTGAAATTGAAGCGCTCGAGCACAATACTCCACCATGTTTCTCTGTTCTTTGAAAACATCTCATTGACAATTCGATCAACCTGGCGAACTCATGTCAAAACATTGTATGTATATGTCGAAGGTATAATGATTATTTGTCGAGATGAAGCAGCAATGAATTCGGACCGAAGAAAGACGCTCCTCTGTTCACAAATGATACTTTTCTTATAAACAATCATATTTTTGTACAATTACATTGTCATATAATACTTCTAATAGCGTCAAGTATAGGGAAACTAATTAGATAGATGTTTCAATTATGGCGCGAGATCATAACCAGATACAATTGGAGAAAGGGATCTGCAAAGATGTAGGAGGAGATAAGTGAGATAGTTCAATAAGAGAGAGTGACAGACAGGCCGTTGCGGATGCTTCCTTCGGCAACTCGACGGAACGCGCGGAAACTCAACGAGTCTCTGGAGCTGAGACTCGCCTTCGTACGAGTAAATGTACGAACAAAATGAAACGAGGACAGTTCTCGCATTCGTACATATGTCGCATACCGATGTACCTATGTATAAAGGAGCAACATATAGATGCATATGTGCGCGTATTTATGCAAGACTGTGAACGAATCGCAAGTACGATCATTAGGAGTTTACCCGAGTACGAAGGCGACATTGGATGAGACGCTTCCGCAGTGAGTTGCCGCGTTGGCAGTAATTTTCAAGCAGATAAGCTTCATGTCTCTCAGAAGATAGCTGCTCAGTGTAATCAGCGGAGCCTTAATCTATCATTTTTTTTTTCCTTTTTCTACTTAGGCCAGTTCATGTTATTGGATAACTAGAAGTCGCATTACTTAGATTCCCTATGATTTTGCAGCAATTTCTTTAATCAATCAAAAGATAACAATGTGTTTCAATATTTTAAACAAATTAGAAAATTAGATATTGATCTGTTTTGGCTTTATTTTTTTTATTACTAATAAAAAATAATTAATGTCTAAATCAATGATTCACATAAAAGAATAACAATGGTAATTTGAATAATTTAATACGTTATCTCGCAAATAGACAAACTTGAAAATATATTAATTGAAAATTATTATTAATCAAATTTATGCGAATAAATTATATTCCTATTTTACAGTTGATGGATTATAAAGGATAGAAAATTTGTAAATGGCTATTGCGTTTTGGCAACGAAATTAATTTATAATATGTGCACTGGAAAGGCATTGTAACGATCTTTCTTACTCGAGAATAATTATTCCTGCGGGAATAATTAACATATATGTGCATATATATCTAGTCCAGACAATGACACGCATTAACGAATAATAATCCGCTTTGTGTCAAATTTGTCTCACATCGATAACAAGTGAAGCAAAGTTTCGTGAGATGTACGGCCGTTGCGATATAAGCAGATGTGTTAATCTTCTTATCGCCAGCGTTCAGCTGACGCTGGGTATCGAGTGAAATATAAGTACGCCTGACATATTTCGTTGCGCGAACGTTAGCAAATACGACATTAGTCGAATAAACCGTTTTAGCTTGACTTAATATCGCGCCGATATCTGGAATAAAGCTCAGCGAAGCTGTCGTTGTCGTTGAAATGTCGTTAGTCGACTGCCGTGAGTCTTTCTACTCCGATTTTAGATCTTCGATGCGATAAAAGTGCAAAATTTTGTCAGTCGATCGCTATACGACATTAACACATTTTCGTCTGTGAGCGCCGGCGGCGCATTTATCTCGAATGCTACTACTGAATATATTCGTAAGTAGTAGAAAGTAAAATGTATTCTCCATTTAACACGCATCTATGCGGCTGAAGTATTGAAAGTTAAGTAATTAGTAATTGTTAAATTAACGACATGTATATGAGTAAAAGATTGTTTAATTATGATCCGTTGTTAATGTTTATATAGTGCAATATTTGCAGATAAATTTTATGCGCAAAAAAAATACACGTATCAATTGGGGGTCTTTTTAAAAAAATTAATCGCAAAATAATTTGATATGCTCGAATTATGCATCTGCAGAACAATAATGATATCTTTATTATATAGTTTAATATTTAATGTTATCAAAATTTTTTTCTCAAAATTTTTTATCAAAATGCGAACACAGTTTCTTGGATTTTCCATCGTTTCAGAATGGCATTGCACAACATTGGCGGAGTTATAAAGTTACCAGTTTGAGAGAGAGAAAAAGAAATTTGAGTCGACCATTAAAGTTAAATTAAATACAAAGTTTATTGTATGCGACGTGGTTATTCAATAAACGAAAACACACGGAGTATAGAAAAAGTCCCGGACTTTTTAAATATCTCAAAAACTAAATAGTTTCGAACAAAATGTGAAATACTAAATTGGTGAACAAAGATTATAATTATGTTTTAAAAATTTTAATTACTATTTCAAAAATATCTTGTGATCAGTTAAAAAAATAAAAAATAGAATTTTTAGCATTTAAAATGAATAGAATTTAAAGCATTTAAAGTGACGTTACAGGTGTGTGTGTGTGTG